AGATTTTATTTGTTTATTTGACAAAGAGAGACACAGTGAGAGAGGGAAGACAAGCAGCGGGAGAGGGAGAAGCAGGCCTCCTGCTGGGCAGGGAGCCCAACGCGGGGCTCGATCCCAGGACCCCAGGATCATGACCCGAGCTGAAGGCAGACGCTTAACGACTGAGCCACCCAGGTGCCCCTGTTTTTTATTTTACTCTACCTCCTATGTGGGTTGAGATCAAGAGTCTCATGTTCCTCTGACTGAGCTAACCAGGTGTCCCCTTCCTTCTCTTCCTTACTTCTTTTCCTCCTAATTTTTCCTCTTCCTCTTCCTTCTTTCCTATTCCTCATCTGCCTCTTTTTTTAATCATAAAACAATAACACTTAACTCTTTACATGAGGCCAAAGCAAAACTTGGCTATTTTGTGTGGTTGACTATCTTGAGTTGTATGTACTCACAGTGCCCATAAGGGCAATAACTAGTTTTCGAATGAATGAATGGTATTGTTTATGCAACTGTACTAGACAGAGGGGTAATTGAATAGGAAAATCATATGCATAGTTTCTGTAGAAAAATAATTCTTTTTTTCCCCATGTGCTCGAGTTGCTTTGATTCAAAAATATAACTCTGAAGGGCAGGTTTTATTACACAAAACTATGTTTTCTTGGGTGGTCTGTTTGATTGCTTAATTAAAGACATATCAAGAAGTTGTCATTTGAAAGATTCTTTTCTCAAATTCATGTGGTTAAAAAACTCAGAAATATTGGTTGTGTTCATGTTGCTACTGTGTGAAACATGAGATCAAACTGATCATTCAAAGAGCAACATCAGAATGAGGACCATTTCCTAAACAGACTGCTTTTCAATTGAGTACAACTCTGAACCTCAGTCCAGGAAAGCTGAATGTCATGACACTCATCTTTAAATGAAATGTAAAGTCTTGGCGGGGGGAGATGTTTAGAATCACAGTCTGTGAGAGCTTGTTTAATTTTTAGACCAAATTGCTTTTGCCTTTGTAAACTCACCATTTTTGTCTGTATAGCATCTTAAACTTCATTCTTATTCTTCTGTTGCTTTGGAAGTCAAAAAAGAATCTTCCATAATTAAATTCCTTTATCAGCAGTGCTCTTACTTAAATTCTGTAGTAATGATTGATGGTCAATGCCACTGAAAATAATTTCCATTGAGGGGGTTCGTCTACCCTCTTGAAAGCCTGTTTTACTGTTTGTAATCATTCTTGCAGTGAAATGTTCCTATGTGTACTAAAAAAACCAAAACCAGAACCAAAAACAAGCAAATGAAAAACCCCGAAAGAAACAAACAAGAAAAACTAGAGTTGAAAAATTCAGCCAGTTTCAGGCGCCTGGGTGGCTCAGTTGGTTAAGCAACTGCCTGCGGCTCGGGTCATGATCCTGGAGTCCTGGGATCGAGTCCCGCATCGGGCTCCCTGCTCAGCAGGGAGTCTGCTTCTCCCTCTGACCCTCTCATGCTCTCTCTATCTCATTCTTTCTCTCAAATAAATAAATAAAATCTTAAAAAAAAAAAAAAAAGAAAAATTCAGCCAGTTTCAACATACATTTGTTAAGCCTTGAGTAGCAGTAGATATTGACCAGATGCTGAGTTACAAATATAAATAAGCCTTCAAGATGTTTATGGTGATAAGAGAGCAGCCCCAGAACTACAGAGTATAATGCTGACTAATGGGTGCCTGGGGAGAGGTATTGATTGTGAGGGTTCTTTAGCTCTGACACCGACCATCTTATTGATTAGTAAGTTTGGTTTAGTTGACTTGGCTAGCTAGGTGCATATCTCTTTCTTCTTTACCTCTCTGTCCATGTGTCTGTAGGATCTTGTCAAAGAGGAAAACTTTCCAGGTGAGAAAGGGCTACTTATTAGCCAAAGCATAGTGTAATTATAAATAAAACACTCAGGGGAAAGCTACAGGGAAAAGGTGTTATTTGTATGAGTCCTTGAAAGATGAGTGCCATTTTGACAGTGAAGGATGAACATGGGTATGTGAAAGGCATTTCATAGATGAGAAACAGCATGGGCTTGACAATAAAATACAAAGGGTATTGCAGAAGGCAAAATTATTAGGGAATGACAGGGCATGACTATAGCAGTAGATTAGAAAGAGTGGGATCATTCATCTCTTAAAAAGTGACCTCAGTATATCAGTTTTGAGTGGATTTCAGAATAATGTGTTGCCAAGAATTCAACTTGGGGAATTACTTAATCACAAAAAGCTTATAGGGAGCATGAGGAAGTATAGAGATTTTAAGAAAAAAAAGAAATGGAAAGAAAACTTAAAAGAGTAAGATATGAGAAAGATGTTGAAGATAAGAATGTGCTCAGAAAAATAAGTTGGAAACATCTTCTAGGTAATTGACCTTTATGCAATTGACTGTGGGTGTGCCACTTGGGGAATTGGGTAAATCCCATGACAAAGCATGATTTTATTCACTCCTTTAAGACCTGAGACTACGCTACAGATCTTAAGATGTCCTCTAATGTGCAGTGAATTTCAGGGCCTGAACAGCACTTTTATTTTTCAGAGATTAGAGAGCACCCAGTCCACAGTAGAATGAGAATATTCTTCCTCTATTTAGCACTTGCAGCTGTCAGGCCTGGAGAAAAACACTGCTTCCTTCCTGACAGCAGTGTCTCAGTGTGGCTGATTTGATTAGGGGATGCTATATTAAAATTACCTAGAAAACTGTCCCCCTTTGAGATGAATACTTGTGAAAATGAGTGGGCGTTAGGCTGTATTTGGTATTGGAACCAGCACATGCTCTTGAAATGATGTTATTTAAGAAACGATTTCAATTAGGAGGAAAAAAAAATCTGTTTAAATCTGGATATACTACTAATCACAGTATTAAAAACACAGCTACACAACCTTGTTTTTTTTTATTTCTCTGGGGTTCAGGCTTCACATGTGGTTAGTCATGTGCAAAACAGAAGGAAAACGTCCACTGTCAATTTATGTTGCTTCCCATCTGCCATGAATGGTAACCCATGATCTTTCCTACACCAGGTATTTTTGTTGTCTTCTTGTTGCTATTTTACAGAGAATCTGCAATCGCTTATTCTGTGTGTCTCACCCAGTTCTTGAAAAGAGACAACACTTGAAAACATAATGGCCAGATGATCTCAGGATGCAAGAATCCTTCAGATGTTTGCTGGGAACATTGAAAGATGCTTCAGTTTGACAAAAGCAGGAAATGTTAATTTTCAGCTCTTTTATAAATAGAGGGATGATCTGTAAAGGGAAAACTGTTGTCACAGCAAATGTACACTTGAGTGATTCAAACCTAATTAGTGGTTATATGATTCACTTTGAATATATTTACTGTAACAACTGGTAAACTCCGTTTCAAATTCAGCTGTTGAATAGACTATTTTTTTTTTTTTAAACAAAACACTTCTGAAAATTTCTTCTTCTTGGTTTTCTTATTCAAGCCAACATTTTTCATACCTTCGTCCTTGATGTATGTGCTATATATAACCAATGATTAGCTCTCTCTGTCTTCTTTTGGTTCCCACTCTACTCAACCCTGCAAAATTCCTAACATATTTACTTGAAGAAAACATATTAGCATTACCTACTTGTTCTCAGCAGCAGAACCGGTGAAAGTGTGTAGTAAGTAGAGAGTTATTTAATTATGAAAAATAGAGTCACGATCCGTAAAAACTATTGAACAAGATCTCCAAAGCAATTGCTATATGGTAATTCTTTGTTAAGCATTCCCGTTTTGTTAAATTATCGACTAGGTATGACCAAGAGGAATTCAAACAGAGTGGTGATTTAGTGACTGTAAAAGCAAACAATTTGCAATATGGTTTATTAAAAGAAATCTTTATATAAAGCAGACATAATTTGTCTCTTGGATATAGCACAAATATAGTTGGGAGGAATCTTTCTCATAACCAAATGCTCTAAAATTCAGATAATATATGCTTCAGACCAGCAGTAATGGAAAGAAAATTCTTCTCCTCTACTTTATATTCTTTAAAACAATGTGGTTATAAAAATAGAAGTTTATGGCAGCTATTTTGGAAAACATAGGGACGTATAGGAAAAAAAGAAAAAAATGTGATTCTACTACTCGTAACATTTAGAAGTATTTTTTTTGCTGCTTCCCAGTCTCAGTATGTGGAATTAAAAAAAAAAACAAAACAGAATCATATTATATATACACTTCTGTAGCTTTTTAGAACACAGTGCTTTTCCAAGTGCCTGCTTGGATTCCTGCATGCCTCACTGGGCTCTTTGAAAACTTGATTCCTCGCTCCAGAGATAGACATGGATCCACAAAGAATACTGCTGTTTCATAGCTTTGCCAACATGCATTTTCCTTGAAATGTGAGACACTTGTTGAAAATAGTAATTTTTGCCTACTGGTTTGTGAAGGCTTAGGTATTAGAAATGAACAAGTATTAAAAATAAACATAAACTTTAATGCACATTTTAGCAGGGATAGTTGAGGGAAGGAAAGTTTCTAGAAGTTTCGTTAGGACAGTCAGGGCATAGTCCTTGAGCTATGTCTCAAAGCCATAGTCATCGGGGTGGTAAGGACAAAGTTAGCTGGGCTGGGAGGATTTCACCTCTCCAGTAGGTGATCGCCTCCACTGGGTTTAAGGACAGTGTGCATAAGCTCTTGATTTTGGCATCCATGTAGGCTAGTTAGATTTCTATGGAAAAACAAATGAAACAAACCCAAACAAAAAACCCCATTCCTTGGCTGCAAACATGTGTGCCCTCATGAGTTCAGTCACATCACTTTGTTTTCTTTTTGAATTGTAGCTAGAGAAATGAAAAAAGGATCACACTGACAGCAAAGAGAAAATTACTTTACCATAGTGGGTGGATAATGTGCTGTGAGGTCAGATTCTTAAACACTGTGGTTGGAAATTTTTAAAAAAATTTTTATAAGGCTGAATGATTTTATTACCACTAATAACCCGTGTGACTCTGAAAGCTAAAATAATCTGGGTAATCAAAATTTATGCTTTAGGACAGAAGATGATTATCTGCAGATGAGAGGAAGGAAATTCTTCTTTCCCCAATTTTCTCTGTTAACGACACTGTGGGTGAGTAACTGTGTGACGCATTTGGCTAACGTTCGGTGGTGGATGGGCGGGGAGGCTCTTCTTTGATATTATCACATGTTGGTGGCCATGGGCAGTGAACTAGGCAAGTGATGGAGTGATCGGAAACTTTACTCAGAGCAAAAGGACCCCTTGGAGATACTGCAGAGGAGGCTGACCTCACGATGTTTGTCCTCCTCTTTGAGAAGTCCATTCCTTTGACTGTTGAGTTTTAATTTCTTCATAAGTTTATTTTAAATGAAAACATCTCTTTAAGATACAGATTGTATTTATTCCATCTTAGAGGAGTCGAACCGTTTTTGAGAGTCCTTCTTCCCCATGTTCAGCAAGATGGCCAGTTCGGGTGTTTTAAATGAGGAGTTGGGGAGAATAGTATTAAAAATATGCTGGGTTTAATCTGGGTTTGTGGAAGACAGGACTTTCTGTTATTAAAATATGAATGGATTTGATTTGTGGATTTCGGTTCCAAAAGTTAAAGGAAAACTATTCGGAGCAGAGGTAACAGATTAAAGTATGTGAATTTCCTCCAGAACTCTCTAAATCCGATTAAATCTGACCCAGAGCCCCCTCACACGAGGGTGGCAAGAATCCTAAACTCAGTCAATTACTTCCATTCTTCCAGAAATGGACTTGTGTTCAAATGGTCTTACATAGATTAAAAAAGTAATCTCTAAAAAAAAAATCTGTGCATGTGGTGTTCTATTAATATATTTATTATAGAATATACAAAAATAGAAATACAGAGACTTCTGCAACAATTATTTTTTAAGTATTTAAGTTTTAATATTAATGGAATACATCTTTGTCATATTGTTATTTATAATTACTATCTAGCAAAACTTGAGTGAGTGTGCTTTTGTTTTGAAAATATTCCTTTTATCGTGATGCAATGTTGGCTCGTAAGTCCAGTTTAATTTCACACTTGGTTTTAATGAAAACAAAGCTGAAAAAGATATCTAATAAAGATAAGTAGATTCATATGGATGAAGTGCAAACTTGACTCCACTTGTGAAATTATAATTTTTTTCGTATCTAAAATAGAAAGGTTTTGTTGAAATTTACCTGGTACATTTCCATGTTCCATGATGTCATTGAGTTAGTGGTTCTTATCCATTAACACAAAGGTTTTCCTTTGTTACATTTTTACTGGTTTAAATTCAGTGAAACTCTGCGTAGATGATTTTAAAACAGCCTAGAAAACTGTATTTCTAAGTTTTTAAAAGTGTAAGAAATGAGGCTTAAAAAAATAGATAATATGCTTACTTAATTTTGGCAGCAAAGTCACGTTTCCATTTCCAAAGATCTGTTTTCAAAATGCTATGTCTCTACCTTAAAATTCTTTCATCATGTAGTCATTTCTTTCCACTCATGTTTAAAATGTCACCTTTACCTTGAGGGAGCAAATAAGGGTGAGGTTTTTTTTTGTTCTTTGGGGGTTTTTTTTTGGGAGAGAGAATCTCAAGCGGACTCCACGCTCAATGTTGAGCCTGAGGCTCGATCTCACAACCCTGAGATCATGACTTGAGCCAGAATCAAGAGTCAGATGCTTAACTGACTACACCACCCAGTAGCCCTGCTTTGTTGTTTTTTGTTTGTTTGTTTGTTTGTTTTTTAATCTTCTGGGTGCTTTAGCATCGACATTCACTTATTATCACAGGAAGGTAGACAAATTTGAAATGCATTTTTTAATTTAATTAATGCATTTAATTTAATTTTAATAAAAATTATATATATGTGACTTATCTTTAAATTTGACAGACTCTTAAATACTCCTCTTAAATACTTTGCCATTAGATAACATTAAATAAAGGATGGTCACACACCATCTCATTCCACTACATGGAAAGATTCCCTATATGAGATCCCATAAATCTATAAACTGATGTACGGAAGCTGCAAGACATACATGGAAAGTCAGTGAGAGCCTAGGCAAGCCTTGTTACCCTCTGCTTTGTAGATCTACCACTCTCCCATCAGGGTAGCTGAATACTGTGGCTGGTGGTCGAGAGTCTGACAAATGGGTTATGTTTAAACTTACTTTCTTTCTTTCTTTCTTTCTTTCTTTCTTTCTTTCTTTCTTTCTTTCTTTCTTTCTTTTCTTTCTTTCTTCTTTCTTTCTTTTTTCCTTTCTTTCTTTTTCTTAAATCTAACCCTTATATGCAACTATAGGAGTATATTTATACCTGGGAAATGACTGATGTACTTTCTTCTGAATGTCTCCTCTGACCTTTGACTCACACTGACACCAGGGGACAGTGTTCAAACCCTCGAGGCTCTGTTGCTTCTGTGCTGGTCTGGAACTTGGGAACATTAGGTGAGGCTGGGGCTTGGCTGCCCAGTGTTCAGCCTCCCTACAGACAGTTGCTCACGTGTGAGGGCCAGCTACCTCAGGGCAGTCCTTCAAGCAAGTGGAATCACAGTTCTCCTGACCCATGGAATGTTCCACTTGCGAGTTGTGAGTGTTTGCCCCACAACGGAAGTTCTTTAGGCTCTTTCAGCTAACTCACCATGAGGTCCTAGACCATCAACTTCCTACTGACCAGGAGTTTTAACTGTCTTGAGAATATTCATTCAGTGTAAGTTCAGTGTGGGAGGGTCGATAAGGGTAGGGGTCAAGCCTGTGGAGTGGATTTGAGGAGTTTGAGGAAGGCTCACCTAACTCACAGCCATCTCTACCAGAAAACCCAGGAGTTAATCAGTCAGATTTATATTTGAATGCAAGACCCACTGCTTACTAGATGAGGGGCCTTAACAAAAGGTTTAATGTGCTGGAAACTCAGTTTCCTCTTCCATAAAATAAACATAAAAGTCTTACCTTTCAGAGCTGGCAAGAGGATTAAGGATAATGTCTGTGAAGTGCTTAGTACACTATCTAGGTATTCAATAAATAGTGGCTTTTAACCCATTTTTTCTTACCCCCCCTTTTCTGTGTGGATCAGATCCCTTCTTCGTGTTTGGAATGAACAAGGAGAGTATTATAGACTGAATATGTCTCCCCAAAATTCATTTGTTGAAGCCCGAATCCCCAGTGTGTTGGTATTTGGAGGTGAGGCCTTTGAGAGGTGATTAGAGTTAGATTCGTTCATGTTCATGAGGGTGGGGCCTTCGTGATGGCATTAATGCCTTATAAAAAGAGGAAGAAACACAAATCTCTCTTTGTTTCTCTCTCTCACTCATTCTCTCTCCTCATCTCCCACAATGTGAGGATGCAGCAAGAAGGTGGCAAGCAGTCTGCAAACCAAGAAGAGAGCTCTCATATTTGATGAATGAAATATACTTAGTTCAAACAATGGGGGCTTGGGACTCACAACGTCTGAATGAGAATCCCAGCCCTGACACTGTGTGTTATCTTGGAGAAATTAGTTCACCTCTTGAAGTGTATTTCCTCATTTCTAAAGTGGGTTTAAGTAATAACCTTATGGAGTTCTTGTGAAATTGAATGAGATAATTCACATAAAGTTATTGACAACAATAATGATATTATCAGAGGTTGATGTTATTCTTCGGGGGATTTTATGTGACGTGAAAAAGACGTTGTTCCCACTGTAAAGGATTTTATGACCAGAATGAGCTACTTCTTAGCTTGATGAGTGATTCTAGATGCAGTAAGTCTGTCATACTGAGGGCTTCATTGTCTGTAGCTAATGGTCAAGTGCGCGTGTATTTCTAAGTGCTTTATCATGGTTTGCTGTGCCAGATGTCCTTCTATGTCCCATTTATATTCTGCATGCTTTTTCTGATATGAAATCTTTCTTGTATATTGCTCTTTTTTTTTGGCAATCTTAAGTTTTCTACATCGTAACATGTCAAATAATTTAAAATTTCGTTCTTGGGATTACCATACCCTACTCATTTCATTAAATACAAATGAGAAATTCAAATACCAAGATAAATAATTATTTTAGGGTTTATGTCAATGAAGTTCTTTTTAATCCTTATTATTTTCAAAGATAACGTATGAATAGAAAAAAAGGAAAATACGTGTTTGGTTTTTTTCTTACTCAAAATTCTAGATCTTGGTTACAAAATACATCAGTTACATTGTTGACAGGATGATGTAGTCTTTTCAGCTAATGAATTCAAAATAAATCATGCTACTGAGTTTTTAATTCAAACGTTTTGCTTTAGTTCTTCATGTGTACATTTTCTTAAGGTGGGAATGTTTATTCAGCTTGTTCTATCTGAGGGTATTTTAGTTCCTTACAAATATATACAGACCTCCCCAGGAACGGACTCTGGATCCAGCAGCAAGTCAAATGTTAGATCCATGAAAGAGTTCTGTTAACAGTTACAAGATGTCCTCCTTCTGGCTTCATCGGCCCTTTTCACTCAAACACAAAAGACATAAGTGGAAATAATCTCTTCCTTCCCCCCCCCTTCCTTTTCTCTTTTTCTTTTTTTTGGGGGGTGGGGTGGGGAGGGAAGGAATAAAAAGTCTAGGATTCTACCTGAGAATCACAAAGAAGAGGCTGGATGATTCTACATAGTATTATACGATTGTTTCTGCATTGTTTATCTTTCATTTTCTCTTAAAATCCCCGTGAAAGAAGCCTTAAAATGACATTTGTTTCTCAACATTCAAGAGAAGGAATGATTATAGTTGTAGTAAAAGAAAATGTTTTTAAGATTCTGAGAAAAATCCCTAAACTAGAAGAAATGTATCCACTGAGAGGAAGACATTGTGTTATTACCCGAGGGATTTTACAGGAATGGAAAAGATCTTTTTCCTGTTCTCAAGGAATTTATGACCTAACGGGAAATTAAGAAAAGATGTGACTCTCACTGAAAATCTAGGCTGTGCTTTCCTATGGCGTTTTCCCTTTGCACCTTTCTGGACAGAGGAGCACTAAATGAATTACAATTATTTAAAAAATTCTCCTCTGGGGAGAATTAGCATTAAGGAAAATATCAAAATATTGCTTCAGAGATGAGCAGTGAAGAATGGGCTAATGAAGAGTTCAGACTGTCTCTATTCACTATAT